AAAAATGCGAAATGACCACCTCCAAAGCTTTATTCTGTAGCGGTGCAGAGTGCTCCCTAGCCGCTGCCTCACCCGCCTCTAAAAATATGAAATGACCGCCTCCAAAGCTTTATTCTGTAGTAGTGCATACCGCTCTGTAGCCGCTGCCTCATCCCGTCCCGCTCCGGCAACATCCACGCAACCTCCGCTACCATCCTCGGCCACAGCTACCGCTAACCCGAGCTTCTCCTTGAGATTCAATGTGAGCACCCCTGCCGCCGCCACCTCCCGAGCTCTGGTGGCACACCACTATCTTTGCCCCTGCTCTCCACCATCGTGGCACTTATCCTAGCCACATCGTCTTCTTTGACACCACGTTGCCTACAATACACAAATGCTTTAAACTCCGCCCTGCCTTCACCATTGGTCAACCGGCCTCCCCAAACTTCCCTTTACAATCGGACTACTAGAGAGCACAAAACCCCTAATATGAAACCCTAAAATTCTAACCTTAGTCACGTCATCGGATCTCTCAGGGTCAACATATTTGAGAGAGAGAGGCAATGGAGAATTAGGAAGAGGTGGTCTTGCCCTAGCCCTAGAGCCCCAGCACCGTGCTACACCCGGCCACGACATTGCACCCATCCTTGCGACACCCACCTGACCTCGTGCCTGGCACCGTGGCACACCCCCGCGTGAAGACGGCCTACATGCACTCACGCCAGCCCTCGTTGCGCCCCTCTCGTGCCGCACACCACCCAACCTCGCTGCGCTCCTCACACATCGCCTGCCCCACCTGCCCTTGCCATGTGCTGAGTGGTGGCTCTATACTGTCCACGCCCTCATCGGGGCACCGCCCTCGTCCGCCATCATCCTGGCGCCGTGCCACACCCTTGGCCTCACGTTGTCGTCATCGTGCTCGCCCTTTAATCTGCCCAACACCATGTGCCATGCCCTAGCCTGGCCTCACCCTACTTGTGCCGTAGTCACCATCGCCCTACCCATGACACACCCTCACGTGGGGCTTGCCTGTCAGCACTGCAAGCACCATGCTCGCCAACCCGCCATCGCCTCGGCGTCATGCAATGTCCTTACCCGCACCCCGTGTTGTGCCCCTATCGTAGCCCCATTCCTGCTCGCGAATGGGTTGATCAACACACGAGAGAAGAGGGAGGGAAGCATGAAGCGTGGTGCTGGATGGAGAAGGAAGAGAAGAGGGAGGCTGATGAGACGGGCTTGCGCGCTAGGGAGAGAATGGCAAGCTGGAGAACAACGAAAATTTTCAAAGTGACCTCAGCCAAGGGTAAAATCTCGTTTTCATCAATGATGGCATATTAGGCACCAAAACTTTTTTAGTGACAGGTCTGAAATTTCAAACTATTTTAGTGACACATAGGTAAAAGGCTCTTGTTTATTTTATTTAAGTGGATGCTTGTTTTTTATGTGATCCAAATAGATCAACCGTCCTCTTATTAGAGCATGGGTTTCTTCAACGACGTCTCCGAGGAGTGATCTGGCACCCGAGGCATCACCATCGTTAGCCTGGCCAAAACCAGACTAAGGTTTCGCTCAAAACCCCATGCATCCAAGAGGAGGCCCCTAGGTGGGTGGCCATGAGGCCATCAGATGCTCGCAGGGCCCATAATGAGTTGGGGACCACACAGAGACAGACGCCTTGACCTCCATGGCTGTGAATACCATAGAGAACCGTGGTAGCCGCGCCACCAGGTGATGTTGTCACCAACATGACCACCACCATCGCCGATGACGCACCTGCATGGGTCAGGTCCATGGCGCCAGACACCGCATGCCAACAACGTCCACCGCCCTGCGATGAAGCTTGTGGATCACCTCAAGCCAGCGTCAACGCTAACATCCGCGCCCGCATTGCCACACAGGACAAGGATCTGCCCCAGACTACTGAACAGGTAGCGGAGCCACCGAGTCTCGGGAGGAAGGCACCTGATTTGGCCCCGACGAACACGGATCTTGCCGCTGGCTGACCTAACTGCTAGCGAAGTAGGGGTAGCCTAGAGAGGGGGTGGACTACGGATGGCGGTCTTTTTGAGCACCATTGCGCTCATCGCCACTGCTCGGGGAGACGACGCAATGTCCTCCTTTCATACTAAGGAGCACGGTGGCGGTGGCAGCCAAGGAGCAGCTGGGGGTTTCGACGGTGAAGGCTGGTCGCTCCGAGCCACCTCACGGCGAGACGATGCAGGGTCCTCCTTTCATGCTACAACATTTTCTTTGTAACATTCTTCATGCCAGTGTCCTCCCACCCGATACCACACCCGTCCCTTGAACTTCCTCTGAGTGCATGGCATGGAGATTTTCATGAACTTTCTCGTGTTTTGAATGGGCTGACGACATTCTCAAACAGAAAATTCTACATTGCCTTGTTGGCTTGTTGGCTGTTGCCGACAAGGCCGCCGAACCTAAGCTTATTGCCTTGTTGGCTGTTGCCGACAGTATCCAAGGTCAAGATTGAACCGTGTATTTAAAGTTCCAGTCGAGGTACCCACCAGGAAGAATGAATTCCACGTTACAAGGCGAAACACTGTTCTGACTGATTTGTCGTGAGAAAAATACTATTTTTAGTTGGAAAAACAAGTCAAAAAACAAATTATAAGAGAAATGAACTGATGCGTACCTCGACTGGAACTTTAAATACACGGTTCAATCTTGACCTTGGATACTGTCGGCAACAGCCAACAAGGCAATGAGCTTAGGTTCGGCGGCCTTGTCATCATCATATCATTGGACGGTCAGCTCAGCTGAGCTCTGCATTTGTGTGAACGTGCTGGTATAGTGACACTGGAATGGATAGATTCGTGGTCCTCCCTTTCCTTTGTTGCTGATGAACAGTACGTAGTTTGAATAGTTCTAAGGGTCCTTGACTTCCTCCTTCGCACATGTACTCCTACTCCGGTAAAAAAAAAAGTTGCAGAAAAGGCGGCAATTATAACATACTATGCGTATAAGCTATCTCTGAGTTTATACTGCCTTCATTTTTGAAATTTAAAAGCTTATTTCGTTTCACCAGGACAAGCCTTTCATCAATAATTACTCTTATCAAAACAAATTCTTGTGTGACCCAAACATGATGTCACTAGAATCATATTAAAAAAACCTACTTATGGTAAAATTTATATCAGATAAATAAATAATACCCCTCTGTAAATAAACAAGTTTTTTTTATTATTTTGTTCGAAGTCAAAATACCCCAAATTTAACAATCAAATTTATATGAACAACAATATCCATGTCATCAAATAAGAATCATTAGGTCAATTATAAAATATATCTTCATATTTTACTTTTTTATATACAGAATAGATGTTAATACTCTTATTCTTTATAAAATCCTAAAATAATTTGACTTAGAAAAAAAATCAGAAATGCTATATTTAGAAATTGATGGAGCACATTAATGTTATACTATTATCGATCAAAACCTTGTCCTAATGAAAAGAGTAAAAAAAACAGCGTGTACTTTTTTAGTGGGGCCACTGCTTAGCCAGTCAGCCCTAATCAAGCTGAATTGATTTATTTGCATCCGGGTGTATACTCGGTTGTTAATTAATGGCCTAGTTTCTAGTATGACAGAGGAACCGGACAGTATTCATACGCACCGTACGGAGATGGCATCTACACGTACAGCACGGAGTACGCGACGGCCGACGATGGGGACATGAAGCCCCTTTCATTTTTTTTCCCAATCTGATGATGACAGAGCAGAGAGGAGCTCTCAGTCTCAGCTCCGTAAAGTCAAGTCAGACCAGTTTCCACGAGCCTAATTGCGCATTAAACAACACTGCTAATCACCTTCACAAACCAGCACATGCTGGTTTGTTCCGTCCACACTAGAGTGTCAAATTTTTGTAGCTCCTGCTAACCAATCGATTTCATTCAGGGTGAATAAACAAAGGTCAAAAAGGCAGGATCACGGAGGATCCATGGGACGAGACGCAGCCCCCACTGGGGATGACCATTGCCTTCGCCTTTCCTTTCCATTCCATCACAACACGTTTCGATTCCACGCCATTGGTCATGGATGGTCGTCGTCTTTCTCGTGGAGGAAGAAGGTGGTCTGGAGTGGAGCAGCACAAGGAAGGGAAGGAACCAATGTCAAACCACGCCATGTACATACATACGCCCTCTGGGCTGTAAAAAAAGAGGTGCAAAAACTTTACTACTACCAGAAGCATGTAGCAGCAGCAGAGGAGGAGAGAGAGATTGTTTAAAGCGCAGAGAGGAGAGAGAGAGAAGCGAAAAGGAGGAGCACCACTCGTGGGGTTAAACTTAAAACCCCGAGGAGTCGAGCGCATACGAGCCGAGAGCTGCAGCACGAGGAAGACGAAGAAGCAAAGCGAGCAGGAACCAAGAAAGAAGCAAGGCCACCTCCTCCTCGCTGCCGCACAGAGTGGGTGCAAGGTTGCAAGCGCGAGAAGGAAGCTGTGTCCGTCAGTACCGGCGGTGGGGGTGCTCCGCGGTCCTAGTTATCCCCTCCGGCGGCGGTCGGATCTGCGTTGCGGCGGCGGAAGCGTCCCCTGGAGCTCGGAGCTGTCCTTCTGAAGCTCGCGGCGTCGAGATCTGAGTTCGGTAGCCGCGCGGGAGGAGGTTTCGCTGTGCCGGCGTGCCTCCTGGTGCTCCCGGAGCCACGAAGGCGGCGCCTTTGGGCATTGCCGTCCGGCTGTCCCTTCCCCGCAAGCTCTAAAGTTCCCAAAGAATTGGAACTGGGATTCTCGGACCGAGCGGCTCGCGCCATGATGTAAATTTGTGCTCGCGGATCGAAAAGATTGCGCCTTTGCGCCGACCGGCCGGAGGTTTGGCGCTGTTCGGCGGAGGAGCAAGTGGCGGTGCCGGGCTGCTCAATCCGGACCCCCGCGCACATGCTTGGAAAGGCGCGTGATTTGGTTTTGGTGTAGATAGGAGGGCCCTTGCTTCGGTTCTCTCTCTCCCCCTTCCCCCCTCCATTTCGTGCGCTCCTGGATCGGTCGGCGAGCGGCGGGAAAAGAATGAAGCTCTCGCCGTCGGCCAGCGGTGGCCTCCAGGACCAGCCGGCGTCGCCGGAAGGTACGGCATCGCTTGTTGGCATTCATTTCATGGTTTGTACCAAATTTTGTGCTCTGCGCATACTGCTTAGTTCACTAGTACTGTCCTTTTCATTGGGTGGTATAAATCTGCAGGATAAGTTGGTTTACTTCTGTCCCTTGCTTTAAATTCCTCGGTCATTATGTGATCCAAATCACTCCAATGTGGTGGGCTCTGAGCTCACTGCTCACTCTTCTTTTGGGTGATTTATTAAGCTATTGACACGTTCTGCAATTATTTTTATTCTTCTTCAGCCCTCTGTTGAATTCAGTGTAAGCAAATTAGTAATGAAATATGAGGTTCTTGATGCAGACTTTGTTCAGAAAATTTCTTTTTCTAGAAGCATGTTTTTTTTAACAATTATATCCATTCTATACTAAAAAAAACTTTGTCATTCTGCTCATAATAATACCTTCTTAGAATCATTTCATAAACTAGGATTTGTTTGTAAGATGCTTCCTAGATCTACAATTATTACTTATGAGATGATTTGTAAACTTCATTCTGATATGCTTTCTGCTCAAATCCTTTTGGCTTTTTTCAGAAGCTGAAGAGCACAAGTGCCTAAATTCTGAGTTGTGGCATGCATGTGCCGGCCCTCTTGTTTCATTGCCTGCGGTCGGTAGTCGAGTGGTGTATTTTCCTCAAGGCCACGGTGAGCAGGTTACCTTTCTTCCTTGGACTAGAGATTGCCACGAAATTAGACATAAATATTGCAGAGTTTATCTGGGTGTTAATACTGTCAAGAACGTGAGTCTTGTGTGGTCCTGAATTCCATCTCTTACGGTATTCATTGTCAGATCTTAAATGGTTGTGCCAGAATTAAAGCTCCTTCTGTTTTCTTTTTAAAGAAATTCACTGAACATATATATATTCTACCACAGGTAGCAGCATCGACAAATAAGGAAATGGAGGCTCAGATCCCCAACTATCCTAGCCTGCCTCCGCAGCTTATATGCCAACTTCATAATGTGACCATGCATGTAAGTTTGGAGTTACATAGCACATCTGTACCAAATAAGCAATTATTATTCGTACCTTTGTGTTTCACCAGCTCTGCTGCATTTCTTCTTTAGGCTGATGCTGAGACAGATGAGGTGTATGCACAGATGACACTACAGCCACTCAGCCCAGTAATAAACTTTCTCATCTTTTCCCATCCGTTTCAATATTTCTGTTTTATGTAATCTAAGAAACTGTTTTTTTTGTTTGGTTCACTTTGCAGCAAGAGCTCAAGGACCCATTTTTGCCTGCTGAGTTAGGCACTGCCAGCAAGCAGCCAACAAATTATTTTTGTAAAACACTAACTGCAAGTGATACAAGTACACATGGTGGATTCTCTGTTCCACGCCGAGCAGCAGAGAAGGTGTTTCCTCCACTGGTATGTGTTCCTTGCGTAGTTGCATGGGTCTCTTCTTCGGATCAAATAGACCAAACCATTAGGTGTTCTAATGCTCCTTTGTTAATCCTGTAGGATTTCAATCAGCAGCCTCCTGCACAAGAGTTGATTGCAAAAGATCTTCATGGCAACGATTGGAAATTTCGCCATATTTTTCGGGGTAGGTATTTCCAGTTACTTTTATCAGTTCATGATGTTGTGATTTTTTGCATAGTTGCATAGTCATGTATCATATAATTCATGGAAGAGTCTCACCTGTTTCAATGCCATTCTACGTTCAAGTGTGAGAGTAACATAGAATAAAATTATTGGTGTAGGTCAACCAAAGCGGCATCTTCTGACAACAGGTTGGAGTGTCTTTGTTAGTGCAAAGAGACTGGTTGCTGGCGACTCTGTCCTTTTTATCTGGTATGGCGTTTTTAGCTTTTCAGAAAAAGAAAAGGCGCACACTCATTTTTCACTTAGTACCCTACAGAGAGTTTTCCTGCTGAGTGTATTGATGTACTCATGTATGTATTTGGCTGCTCAGGAATGACAACAACCAGCTGCTTCTGGGAATTCGCCGGGCAAACAGACCACAAACTGTCATGCCATCATCAGTACTTTCTAGTGATAGCATGCATATTGGTCTGCTTGCTGCAGCAGCTCATGCTGCATCAACAAATAGCCGCTTTACTATTTTCTATAATCCAAGGTAAAAACAGTTTCCTACATATATCTGATTATTTATTACTCAAGTTTACTCAACTATTTCCCATTATGCAGAGCAAGCCCTTGTGAATTCGTCATACCCATGGCTAAGTATGTGAAAGCTGTGTACCATACCCGTATATCTGTGGGTATGCGTTTCCGGATGCTTTTTGAGACAGAGGAATCTAGTGTAAGGCGGTATGTCAAACCTGTGTTTATTGGTTTATCCTCTTGTCTTGTTTCACTTGCCTCTAGCGTAGTGATTGGATGTGTTCAATGTTAGATACTGCTGGTGCATTGTCTATATATGCCCATCAAGTTTCAATCTAAATTGCTTAAGTGCCCTTGCAGTTACATGGGGACAATTACAGGAATAAGTGATCTTGATCCTGTTCGCTGGCCGAACTCGCACTGGCGCTCGGTAAAGGTAGGTTTAGAAACAAACACCTCTGTTTTTCTTAATGCCATTCTACATGCCTTCACACTTCTTTAACTGCATCCTGAGTAAATTCCCAGTTAGATGGTGGTCTCTACTTTTATACATGTAGTAGTAAGCATGCAATCAATTTTTCCCTGAACCATGTAGGTTGGATGGGACGAGTCAACTGCTGGAGAGAAGCAGCCAAGGGTATCTCTTTGGGAGATTGAACCGTTGACAACTTTTCCAATGTATCCATCTCCTTTTGCTCTTGGATTAAAGCGCCCATGGCCTACAGGCCTGCCTTCTTTATATGGTACAAGTGACAGTTACACACTTAGCAGCTCCTCCAATATACAGCTTTGAACAATGGATTGTGTTGATACTGCTTATGCACTAATCCCATTAATCTTGTTCCTGATTGTTTTGGTAGGTGGAAGGGATGATGGCTTGACCTCTTCTCTTCTGTGGCTTCGAGACAGGGCAAACCCGGGTTTCCAGTCACTGAATTTCAGCGGGCTTGGTACAAGTCCCTGGATGCAGCCTAGGCTGGATAATTCCCTACTTGGTCTCCAATCTGACATGTACCAGACCATAGCAGCAGCAGCAGCATTACAAAGCACTATGAAGCAAGTTTCGCCTTCAGTAATGCAGTTCCAACAGCCTCAGAATATTGTTGATAGATCTGCTCTTCTATCAAGTCAGATTCTGCAGCAAGTACAACCTCAGTTTCAGCAAATTTACCCCCAAAATCTCAATGAAAACAAAATTCAAGGCCATACACAACCTGAGTACCTCCAACAGCAGCTTCAACGCTGCCAATCATTTAATGAGCAGAAGCCTCCGCTTCATCCACAGCAGCAGCAGCAGGAATCACAGCAGCAGCAATGTGTGCAAACACCACAGGATCAACAAATGCAACAACAGAAGCATCTGCACAACTTTCACTCCTTGCCAGATGCATTATCGGCTTTTTCTCAACTTTCCTCAGCCACTCACTCCCCATCTTCCACATTGCAGGCAGTTCCAACATTCTCGCATCAACAAAACTTTCCAGATACAAACATTAGCTCTCTCTCACCATCTAGTGGCTCTTCCATGCATGGCATGTTGGGGCAATTACCTTCTGAAGCAGCTTCGAGCCTCCCATGTGGTGCAATAAACACCCCTGTATCGGTGTCTGACCCATGGTCATCTAAGAGAGTTGCAGTGGAGTCTGTTAACCCTTCTCGTCCTCATGTTGTTTCACCACAGATGAAACAATTGGATATGGCATCATGTAACATGCCACAAAGCTCTGCATTAGCACCATTACCTGGACGAGAATGCTTAGTGGATCAAGATGGGAGCTCTGATCCTCAAAATCACCTCTTATTTGGTGTTAACATAGACTCCCAGTCACTTTTGATGCAAGGTGGCATTCCAAGCCTTCAGAATGATAACAGTTCAGACACGATTCCTTACTCAACCTCCAATTTCCTGAGCCCTTCTCAGAATGGTTTCCCCTCTAATCAACCACTACATAGTGCGGGCTGCTTAGATGAGTCAGGTTATGTTCCATGTGCAGAGAATTCTGAACAAGCAAATCAACAGTTTGCAACCTTTGTGAAGGTGAGGTGATATGTCTACATCGTGGACCATTTAATTAACAAAAAGTTGTTTCATTTTGAATTCTTTCCCTTGACGCACTTTGTTGACAAATTTGTGCTCTAAAATAGGTTTACAAGTCTGGAACCGTTGGAAGGTTGCTGGATATCACTAGATTCAGTAGTTATGATGAACTTCGTAGTGAGGTGGGGCGTCTATTTGGCCTTGAGGGCCAGTTGGAAGACCCTTTGAGATCAGGCTGGCAGCTTGTATTTGTTGACAGAGAGGACGATGTCCTTCTAGTTGGCGATGACCCATGGCAGTAAGTTCTAGTACCAACAAGCTTAATAAGTTCCTGATCACCTTTTGATTTTGCTGTTCGTTTAATATTTTATTATGTTTATTGGGCTCGCGATGTGCAGGGAATTTGTGAACAGTGTGTCCTGTATAAAGATACTTTCACCGGAGGAGGTTCAGCGGATGGGCAAGCCAGGCATTCAGCTCTTGAGCTCGGCTCCTTCAAGAAGGCTGAGCAATGGCTGCGACAGCTATGTGAGCATGCAGGAATCGATAAGCCTGAGCACTGGGATGGCGCCAGTGGGTTCGGTCGAGTTCTGAAGGCAGGGAAGCCCGTGGCCCTCGGCTTTAGGATTCTCCTTCTGTATGTTTCTGCTGCACTTCCTAGTTTTGCGACTTGGACCAAAGCACATAGATCAAATGAAGCTCTATGTTATTCCCCTTCTGATGATGTCCTGTGATATAGACTCTTAGCAGTAGCTACTACATGTTGTATACATGCCAGCACTTAGTTCTTCTATCGAGTACCAATACCGCTAATTTAGTGCATCCAATCAACTACGCTCTTGTTGTTGAAATACAGTAAAACTTTTTTTTTCTCTCTGTCATAATAACCTGTATATTGAAACTGTTTTTGGTTCCATGGTATGCTGCTGACGAGGGCAATTGGAATTTGGGGGCATTTCATAGAATTCAAACTAGTGACCACTGACCAGTGTGACGATCCTTTTTCTTCTTCTGTTATAGTGTTAGGCATGTAAACTTACCAATGCGATGCAATTCCAATTTAGTCATGGGGGAAGCCACCTTCTCCCATATTAACATGTCCGTTGCTGTCATGACAATTGCTAAAGCTATATTCAGTAAAACAAAAGGCAGTTTGTTATGATCCTGGAAAGCTCAGAGGTTGAGAGATACAGATCTGCTTGCATAATTTGGCACCTTTATGCTTGCATAATTTGGCACCACTTCGTGCAGACAACGACTTGCAGCGCCATGGACCGGTCCTCTTCTTCCTCTCATGTGCTCCCTGGGTCCCTATCTGACTGAAGAAACCCCTGAGTGCCGTCGGTGTCCGTCCCATTGGAACAAATGGCGAAGAAGAAAAGATGACCCTCCCTTTCCCTGAGGTCAGTGGTGCAGCATCAGTGAGTGAGCTGAATGCGATGCCCCTCTCGCCATCACAGGTCCATTATCCCTGCTCTGATCCACCTGGGGCCGCCGCCGCGCCTTCTGGGAGGTGGCTGGCAGCTTCGACTGTGGATTGTGACAAAATTCTGAGTGGAAGCATGTGTAGTGCTATGGCAATGGCGGTCTGACACGCGAGCACAGCTCACCCATGCTTTTCAAAGCTCTGGGACTCTGGGCAGGGCGTCTCCTACTCTACCCTGAGCAAACCCCAGCAGCAGCTTCTTTGGTGATTCCTCCATCGCTTTCAGATCTTCGGCTGGGCCCCGGATCCGGATCCCGGATATTGCCATTCTCCCCAATCTTGGCCGGCTTTTGGCGGTGGGGAAGGTGGAAACCTGTAGACCGGAATGTAATGTTGTTGGTGGAAGTATCTGTTGCCTCGCAAATCTGTGCCTTTTTTTTTTGGAGGATGGATGTCTATCGACAATAGTAACAGGAGCAGAGATTGTCAGCTTCTCATCAGCACACACATGCATATCTATCGACAAGTCGAGATGCAGCACAAGCCTTTGACTTATTGCAGGTACAAGTGCCAGCCATATCTGGAAAATTGTTGGTCACCTGTTGTCGAGTGTCCAACTGTCGATGCTTCGTGCCCCAGCTTGCCTTCTTCTGCCGTGCCTGGCCCTGCACCGTCCATCCTGAATGGTTACGAACCATCACACTGGCCATTGGTGATCGTGGTCATGGAACCCTGAAGAAACCGAGATCACAAGGAAAACGAAACGAAGGCTCTCAACATACTCCTGTCCGGCTCCGGAACCGTGCGGCCGCCGCGCCGGGGCAGTCCGGCACCACGAGGACGAGGAGCGCACGCCGGCCAGCCGGCCGGAACACAGCCACACGAGGGCACGGCGCCGGCACGAGCATCACAAACGCGTCAGACCTGACGCGCCGGCCGGGCGACGGCGGCGCACGGAACCGAGGGCGGTTTTTTTTTTTGGGAGCAAAGAACCGAGGGCGGCTGCGTGGGGCGTCGTGCGTCTGCCCGTGATGGGCCTTGGAGTCCGTTCCGTTCACGTGGGGGAGGGGAAGTGGCGGTCCCAAGCAGGAGAAGCCCACGGGCCCAAGCATTTCCTATGCAAGCAAGAAGGACAAGTTTCCGCTCCAGCTCGTAAATCAGCCCAGTTAACTATCTCCAACAATATCACCCAAAATACAAGACCCATTCCATGTTTGGGTAGCGCTATAGCCTCTCAGAGAGAGATGATACTCATATTTGGGTTATGCCTCTACTATAACCCAAAATAGATCTCGTATATAGATATTCTGTTAGAGGATGATACAGTACCATCCACGATACATTTTAGATTTGGTTCTCTATGGTCATGCATTGGAGACGCCTTAGCAACTGCTGGTGATTCTCAAAAAAAAAAAGTTAGCACAGCTGGTGCTAGCCCAGTGGCCCGTGGCGGACTATGGAGATCACCAGCTCCTTTTGCTCAGAAAAAAAAATCAGCTCCTCTTTCGAATTCATCATAACTTTCCCTTTGTATTTTCTTTCACTTTTATCTTTCCATATGTTTCTCTTCTTTTATCTCTAAGACAGTTGCAGTTTTATACACATAAAATGTTGTCAATATTTTTTAATAATAATCACCTAGTGCAAATGTCTTTGAGACAACTTAGGGCATATTTAGATACATTAGCACTAAAATTTGCAGCTAAAATTAGTACTAGTGGATCCAAACAAACCTGCTAATTATTAGCTAAAGTGATAATAAAAAAATAGCAGGTTTAGAGTTGCTAATAGGTGCTAATAATTCATATATACCTTGAACTCAGAGGATCCAACCACTTATATAGCTATTGAGCTATTTGGGTCCAAACATACTGTTATGCTAAAATGAATCTTCTTTTTTTTCCTGGCAAGGTCCTTGATGCAACAATTTCCGACGTTGTTGGCAAAACTGTTCCATGGTCATGCAGGCTAGCTAGAAATTTCTAACAATTAGTTCAACTGATTAGTATGCTATTAGTCATCAAAAAGCCTTTGCTATTTTTGGTCCCACCTCGTAGAAAACTAATTCAGCATCTTGTGCATCTTCAAACATAACTCAGTTGCTATTAGAATGTACTAAATGAGACAGGCCAAATTGAAGGAAATTGTTTGGCCCTTCTTTTATTTATTAAGGGAGTGTCGACACGAATTTCGTCTCGTGCCAAGGGCCTGGCCGCTTCGAGGTCCTTGATGCAACGATCCTGCGCACTTCCGACGTTGTTGACCCTCAGTCAAGATGAAAAAGTTTATCAGGCTGCGGTGTGTATATTATACGTCGATTAAATATAATATTCTAGAAATTTCTCATGAACAAAGAATCGATTATCGCTTAGGATGAATATCATTCTTTAAACAAATATTGGTCAATGATAAGATATTAACAATCCATTGTATGCTCAATAGTCATCAAAATTTAATAGCCTTTGCAACAAGAATAGACAAAAAAACAACAATAGAACCCAACTTTTAATAGCTTTGGTGGTCCAATAATAAGATCATGGGGCCACATCAACCTATCGCTACTTACCAAAGATGAAACCTTGGGTTCAGCATCTTGTGCATCTTCAACCTTGTTAACTCAGATTGCTATAACGGGCCATGTAATAGTACTAGCCAATAGATCACTCAAGATCAAACATCTCCTATGAGACAGCCCAAAAATTGAAGGAAATTGTTTAGATCCCCTATTCTATTTATTTCATTAATCGGACGAAGTGATATTGCTGTAATTAAATAAATAATAGAAGCAATAAGGGATAGAGCCGATAACTTGACCTTAATCGTTGAATCACTATTTTTTCTTTCCTAATGTTCATCTCAAATCAACCAATCGATGTAGGACGACATATAAACCATGCTAATGTGCCTTGGATGATCCACTCATCTTTACTCCTACTCCTAAGGGGTGGCCGAGGAGCCAAAAAAGTAAATAACCGGTATTTGATTGATTGTGTGTCTTTTACAATAGGCGGGTTTGGTATTTATACCGAGCCTAAAAACAATCCTACTGAACTATCAATGTGAAGAAAACATTCCTATTTGAAGATAACTTGGACTCTAATCTTTTCCTTTTGTAGAGTCCGATATGTATCTTCCGGATGCCAATCATATCTCGTCATCGTTATCTCGCGACGTCATTCACGAACCGATCCTAGTGTCGCATTCGGCCCGACGGATATCAATTCTACTCAATCGATTGAACTAATCTTGAAAAGCCTCGCCAAATTTTGGTGTAAACAGGGAAGGTACTCATAACGTTGAATCACTGTTTTTCTTTCCTAATGTTCGTCTCAATTCAAACAGGAGGAGTATGCTATGCTAATGTGCCTTGGATGATCCACATCTTCGGTCAGCAATGATGAGCACATTGAACTATCCATGTAGTCGAAAAAACTCCATCCTTTTATCATTTACCATGACATCCCCATGCCGCCAACTACGCTAAAAGCGAGAAAAACTCCATCCCTTTCCTTTTGACATCCCCATGCCGCCACACGGGGGGACACGAGACATCAAAAAGGGGATCCTATCACTATCAACTAATTTGTTCCGACCTAGGATAATAAGCTCATGAGCTTGGTCTTACTTCACCCTAAACGAAAGAAGACTTCCATATCCAAGTTTAGCTCAGACGTAGCTGCCTTCTTTTTGGGCGTGAAGCAGTGTCAAACCAAAATACCCAATAAGCATAAGCATTAGCTCTCCCTGAAAAGGAGGTGATCCAGCCGCACCTTCTATTACGAACAATCAAATAATAGGAAAAATTGGATTCAATTGTCAACCGGTCTTATCGATCAAAATTAGGGTTTGAAACTTAGGTAATTAACTTCTTCTGCTTAACCCAAGAAGATGCATCTGAACAAAAGCAAGGGAATATGAAAAGAAAGTGAATATGGTAAAGGATCAGGAGACAAGAGACAGAGAGTCTCTTACATGGGCCAACACTAACATCTCCCCTAACCATTCTTCTTTAACTTTTTTTTGAACTAATCAAATCTGACCGAGCCTGTTTATGTTGATTAAGCGAAAAATATAAACAGGTAACCTAGAAGACTGAACTAGTAACTTGTTTTTACTGATTGTATTTATAGTACTATAGGAATGTAAGGTATAAAATACAAAATTGATG